AACAAGAAGTCGAAAATATCACTTTTTACCAAAAATGACAAAAATATTCACCAAAATTAGAGAATTGAAGATATCAACATGAAATGAACAAACCTAAGAGAGGTCTACCCAAGGTACATATACACCAAGTATCAAAGCATTTAGGCTTGTAGTTTTCAAGAAGAAGTCAAAAAAGTAAAACATTGACACGGACGACGACGACGATGGACAATCACTCATATGATAAGCTCCGCTCGACAAAGTCGACAGCGGAGCCAAAAACTTCTTTCCAATATTATTCAATAGGCCAATACTCTGGCACAAAAAAGACATTCCCTTCATTATTATATCACAATTCAAACTGAAATGAGAGGTTTGTGTTGGCAGACTGAATAACTATGGAGCATTTTCATTCATGCTATTTATTATCTAATCGTACACCATAGAGGAATTCAAGTAGTCAAATTATTGTAGCAACATTATGTTTCATTTATACAGAAGATCAAAGGGATGAGACACGGTACAGCATATGTGGACTGACATTCGTCCCCCCCCCCCATCTTACAAGGCCCTATTCTGCCAACTTGATTTCCCAGAGCTTGGCAAGTGTGCAGAATGTAATGTTTGTAATAGCTGCTATGGGATCCATAGTATTGAAGTTCATAATACACACAGAAAATTAAAACAAAAGGAATACATTTGATTGCAGTCTGGTTTAATCACTTGCAACAAATTTAATTTAAATCTGATTTTTGAGATACTGTAGAATACTTTATTTTCGCTTGGAATTTATTTTTGCTATTTTCGCTGAAGGGATGATTCCGTGAAAATAAAATCCAGCGAATATACTTTTTTTCCTATATTTCACATTAAACTCATCAGAAATCAGTGAAAATAAATTCTAAGCAAAACGTCCAAAAAGCCTTTTCAGCGAAAATTAATTCCAGCAAAAATAAAGTATTCCACAGTAGCAGAAATTTATGCAAATTAGGTAATCAATATGCATTGTGTTTAACCCTAAACTGTGGATTACCCTCAGAAAAATCATGTTCCAGTTTCATTGAAATCTAACTAGTTATATTTTAGTTCTGTGAAACAATTCGTTCATTTATTTAAATTAGGTAATTAAGATGCAACCCCAATCTAATCACTTCTCCAGAGAGCCTATGTATCTAGATTTATGTATACCGATACTACCATATTATGTCTGTTCTATGTACCAACTTAGAACAAAATCAGCTTAAGCACATTCTGGGAATGGAACTGGACACAAAAATGAGAGAGAATACAAAACAAAGATCCATGTTTTACTGAGTTCCGAATGAGGACTTAAAAGATGTGATTGTGTAGCATAATTCAACAAATTTAGAAGCACTATCTTTGTGGTTTATTAACTCATTATGTTGCGATTCTGCAATATGAATTGATTCTACAGATGGTGTGCACATCCAGAGAGTAATGAACTCGCATAATAAGTATATTACTGACAATGATATAGTCCTGTCACATTGTTAGGCAGCCAAGTGTTGTACTGTATATAGGTACAGAACCACATCAATGTCCATATCAATCTTTGTATTGCAATACATATTTGTACTATGTGGATCAAAAACATAGTAAATACAGACAGTCCATAGTTTTGATGATAAGAATGGCATAGAAGTTGTAACTTACCAAGTAAAGACAACTTTACTTAACCTATCATGTGTAATGTTCATACCAAGTTTTGAATAAAATCAGTCCAGGCCTGCCTGATAAAAACGGCCACCAGGCAGTCAAAGGTCAACAAAATAAAGCAACATGCACATGCATTCCATTATGACATGTTTTTCAACAAAGTCAGTCCAGGCATGCCCGAGAAATGATGATGAATCAATTGCCAGACACCAAAACAAAATATTGACAATAGATGGAGGGATCAAATATAAATACACTCATTAATTTATGTTTTACTATTGTTCCAGTGAAGAAATAATTTGTCATGATAAATTCTCAATTTTCAAATATTTTGGGAAGGGGGACGAAACAATACTTATAATCCTTTAAGCTAAAACAACAACTATAAATTAAAAACACGCCATGTAAAAAAAAGTTTATTCTTTTGATCCATCAAGACTACAGTCTCATACATTCTCAATTATATAGGAATCTGTTGATCAACTCTACCTACATAAGTGTTTCGTACAAACCTAGTTTATCTCCAGTGATACACTTTGCATATATGCAATATAATTTACAAATGCCAAACCATGTCACTCTGCCATTTCCAGCACTCTCGACTAAAGTTTTAAATATTACCCAATAAATACTACGAACACAACAAGAGACCAACGCTTTTTACATACCAGGTTACCAGGGTACTAGTAAATATTACAATTGTAAATACAGAAAACAATTGTTCATTTCGTATTGTATTCAATATATTACACATACAGTGCATGTGAAAACAGTTCAATTTGAATGAGAGGAGGGAAAACTGAGGTGCTCTAATGGCCACTGGAAGTAGTTACATAAACATGTTATATATTTTTCCTTGCAATTACAGCAATATATTGGAATTAATTATACCATCACACAATATTTCTTGAGATTGTGGACAAAGTCATACATTGGGAGAAACAGCACATGTAATAACAATATTTCTGTACAATGGTTATGTCAGTCTCTAAGAATGTACACGTAGCAGTACGGTGGTTTGTTTCCATGGTAACATCAGTACAGCATTGAAAGTCTATACTATCACCATGTATCTCTGAGTAACTGATCCCAATCAATCTTTGTAGAGAAGACTTCACGTTCAAGCCAAGCTTCGTAACAATGTTTAAAGTCTTCGCTAAGTTCAACATTCTGTCCAAGCACACTGAGTATATTGTTATCTACAGGAGCAAATTCTGGATCCTTTCCAGCACTGATGTCATAGCGTCTGGTGTTGAATCTATCGACACAGGCTCTCAGAGCACACTCCTCTGCTTGGAAATCCCATGGTCTCGCATCCATGTCTGGTGAGTGAAAGAGAAAATGTGAACTGAACATATGAACAGAATATTGTTGAATAAATTACTTGGCAGTTTGTCTGATATATTTCTATACAAACAGACATTAGATGCAATGTACGCAGAGATCTTGTTCAGAGCAAGAGATCCATGAACATTTTTCACCTCAAATTGTTTTCCCAATTCCCAAGATATTGCATGTACAGTACTCCTGACTTATGCAACTATGCAATTTTGAAGAATGTACACAAGCAATGTTTGGAGAAAATGGAACACAATTTGCAGGGCAAAAAAAACGACTCTCACAACGACTTTTGCTCTAAACGAAATCTCAGCAGTCGTTTGCATCTAAGGTTACAAGGATATTGATACTCACCATTACCATATGCCCAATCGTCATTAAATCGATGTCTGACTTTCTGGTAGATTGCCGATAAGGTTTTCATATTACTTTTTCTCCACTGTCTACCAAGGTATTTAGTTTGCATCTTTAATAGTTTGAGTACGTAGAGCTGCATCATTGCTTGCTTCACCTTCAGTGCTCGTTTCAATATCGGAGCAGATTTAAACACAACCAGCATCTAGGAGAGGTCAAATAAAATTTACACTTGCCCTTTTACTGAAAATTTCTGCTTTGGTGGTTTATACCACCCACTAGTGTCCGTATATTTATTTTTTAAGTACACTTACCGGGTATTCTGTGGCCCACACAGATCTGTGTCGCTGTATGGAAACATGCAACTTTAATGATCATGGTTTTGAATTAATTTCTGATCTCCGTTCATTTTTGCATGTCAAAAATAGATTTACGTTATGTCTCGTAGTGTACACATTACCAGTATTTCAGGACTTTCAGTAAAATATGTGAATTTGATGCGGATTCTGACTAATTAAATATTTTTGAATTTAATTTCAGACAAATTGATGTGTTCATTGTTTCTCTAGTTTTCTGAAAAACCACTGTTATACTGACCGACAGTTAATTACAATGACCTAGGTTTTTATCCCGGAATTACGAATGTTTTGAAATCTGATAAGCTTCTGGATTGTACAGCCTACACTGGGATATAGGAATGCTTTCTTGTGTTTTAATAGTAATATGTAATATCCAGTAATACACATCTAAACAAAACTTGAAAACCCCACTACAAATCAGTAAATGCTGTGCTTGCCAATCTGAACACATGGACACTCTTGATTTAAACTCAGGCATTGCATTAATTCTGAATCTGGTCTGGTTCATCTTTTCAATTTCCTTTTTACACATAATCTTAAAATGATTAAAACCCATTAACAATTAGCAACTTACCATGGTCCTGGAATGTTTCCATTTTGTAAGTTTATTAAGAATTCTTAATAAATTGATGCAGGAAAATAGATTTCTCCAACAATACAAAGCACTATCACCTGCCTCCTGTAAATAACAGCATTCATATTGTGAGTGGAGACTATGACATCATCATCATCATTATATCTATAACTACTGATATATAAGAAGCACTTGGAAGATAACATGAATAATGAAGACATGTTGCGACATGTGAATACTAATGTACAAGTCTGAAGTGTGGATACACACCCCAGGATTAAACCAGCTAACAGGTTAGTTTACAACCAGTCATGTTTTCACTGACATAAAGAGACATAAAGAGCTGACATTTTTTATAGACGATTTAGAAATTTCATCATTATGTATTCCAGATATGAAAAAAAGCCAGTATATGAATGTCATCAGTCATTACAACACAATATAATCAGCAGCTATACCTATAGAGAAAGTACAAGAATTTTGCTGATGAAATATCAACAACACAGTTTTCTTCAGCTTGATCCACTCACTCTTCATGTCATAGACAATTTCCTATGTACACATTTCTCACAAAATCAAAGATTTCAATTTGAGGAGACGTGCAGAAAGCAGACAACTGAATACATACCAAACTTTCTGCAGTTAATTCTGGTTGATCTCCTATCACACAACTTGGAAAATCTATAACATTTATACTGAAAAGTCAAAGCACATGAAAAGTTACATACAAGACATGACATGATAACAACTAAGGATGTATTTACTAGGCATGATAAGTACAAGTAACATTAGTGACTGGGTATGATTATCAAATACAGTATTGTTAACATATTGACATACATACATAAACAAATACTGTGAAATACTTTATTTGAGCTGGAATTAATTTTCATTGAAAAAACTTGTTGGGTGATTTTTGACAAGTTAAATGTAAAATATAGGAAAAAAGATATATTCATTGGATTTTAATTTCACTGAATCATTACCTCAGCAAAAATTAATCCTAAGCAAAAATAAAGTATTTTACAGCATGTAACATATGGTAGTACATGTACCAGACTACTGATCTATGCTCTCTGTCAGTAAAATGTAGTAAATTGCGATTATTTTGCAAAATTTACTAAATATATGTATCTCAATATTAATTAGTAAAAATTACATTATGATGTATATGGGAAATGTTTGCTATTTTTTGTTTTCTGTTCTCAATTATCATATTTACACTCAGAACAATATAGAAAGCACCCAACTCAATGTGACTTGGTCGATATTTTCTAACATGTCTCTAAATATTACTAATATTGCAGTGAAATTACATTGTGAATGCTGTGCAAATTTACAACAATTCATGTCATTATAACCAATTTACATGCTTTAAATCTGTAAACAACAGAGCTAGTATGTATCAGGACAGATAAATGCTGTGACAATGTACATCATCACTATCATACTGCTAGCCAAATATAACATGAACCTACAACTCAATATGCACTGTCATGATACCAAGTTAGATTGAAATCATCCCAGTCATCACAGGGAATAATAGAACAGGTATATAATATTTGTATGTCCAAAATGGCCGCCAGTCTACCATACTTCATTGAATAAAACAACATTAATGCACATATGTATGAGATCATGTACTGTCTTTGCACCAAGAATTTGTGTACAAGAAATTGGTCATTTTATGTACAGAAATTAATCAGACAACAAATCCAGAAAGGGAAGAATTTGTCAGATTGAGTGACATCTAGAGAAATAAATGTCCACCTCCATAGTTAATGAATGGTGCATCAACTTACCTATTTTTGGCTCCTACGTAGGAACTAATATTCTGGTTGAAAAACTTCAAAACTAATGGTATACAGTTGGCAAACACTAGATGCTGACTCATAAATTCAAACTGACAAAAAAACAAACAAATTCAACACAGTCAATACAGTGGAAGAGCAAAAGATGATTAGAATACACATACTCAATACTAAGGTACTACAGGTACAAAGTATCTTTCATAACAGTACCATTGTCATATACAATAGGTAAGAATGTATCATTGTCACTATCTAACCTCAGTTTCATTAAACACAACAAATACATAAAGTTATATGCTGACAACCATATTAAATATTACTCCATCAAACAGCACATAACACAATGGCTTTCCATGTGTTTAATAAGACAGCACATGACACAATGGCTTTCCATGTGTTTAATCAGACAGCACATGACACAATGGTTTTCTATGTGTTTAACCAGACAGCACATGACACTGTGACTTTCCATGTGTTTAACCAGACAGCATATGACACTATAGCTTTCCATGTGTTTAATAAGACAGCACATGACACTACGACTTTCCATGTGTTTAATAAGACAGCACATGACACTATGACTTTCCATGTGTTTAACAAGTCATTGAAAATGACACAGTTCCCGTTCAAACTGTTTTCAAATTAATCCTCATGTATCAAACTTGGTCTTGACAATATTCAAGAAATATATTTACATGGTGAAATACCAAAACAGTGTACATACTGAGTATGACAAATAAGAAAAAAACAAAAGAAAACTGATCAAGTAAGAGTACTTTCAAAACATTTTTCAATGCAATGTCGCAGTGACAAGGCCAAAGTCACCTTCAGAAGGCACCCAGAATGATTTGGTCCGAATAAAATGCAGCTATTTAAATCAGCAAGCAACCTGTAAATACATACTGGAATGACTTGTTAAAATAAGTTTTAAATACAATATGTTCCATATCTAGTATGTTATCAATAGTCATTTTAGCAGTACTGACACGAGCAGTATCCACAATCACTGAATATACCAAGATTATAATACTGTTTGTCAAACATGTACTGACTCCGGAGGTGATACCTAAATATTTAAGTGAATCTTAATGAGCATAACCTGCAATGACTAATTCATCTTGACCCTTTATTTCACAGTTTCAAGTCGGACCAGCACTGCCTTATTCTATATCACCACTTAGCAGCAGAATCATTCACTTATTGTACAAATAAAGTTGCATAAATCCACACAGAAACAAAGTTGTAGCTGCCAAACGGTCAAAATTGATCTAATCACAAAACAACTTCACATGCATATATATACCTTCATGACATGTATGTGTACCAAATTTGAGAAGAGTCCATCAAATAATGTCTGAAATATGACCACGCACGCACGCATACACGGAACCAAAAACACTACTTCTACACTACACTACACTACACTACTAATAAGACAGCACATGACACTATGACTTTCCATGTGTTTAATAAAACAGCACATGACACTATGACTTTCCATGTGTTTAATGAGACAGCACATGACACTATAGATTTCCATGTGTTTAATGAAACAGCACATGGAACTAACTTTCCATGTGTTTAATAAGACAGCACATGACACTATACCTTTCCATGTGTTTAATGAGACAGCACATTAAACTAACTTTCCATGTGTTTAATAAGACCGCACATGACACTATAGCTTTCCATGTGTTTAATAAGATAGCACATGACACTATGGCTTTCCATGTGTTTAACCAGACAGCACATGACACTACGACTTTCCATGTGTTTAATGAGACAGCACATGACACTATGGCTTTCCATGTGTTTAATGAGACAGCACATGACACTACGACTTTCCATGTGTTTAATGAGACAGCACATGACACTACGACATTCCATGTGTTTAATGAGACAGCACATGACACTACGACTTTCCATGTGTTTAATGAGACAGCACATGACACTACGACATTCCATGTGTTTAATAAGACAGCACATGACACTACGACTTTCCATGTGTTTAATGAGACAGCACATGACACTATAGCTTTCCATGTGTTTAATAAGACAGCACATGACACTATAGATTTCCATGTGTTTAATGAGACAGCACATGACACTATGGCTTTCCATGTGTTTAATGAGACAGAACATGACACTACGACTTTCCATGTGTTTAATGAGACAGCACATGACACTATAGCTTTCCATGTGTTTAATAAGACAGCACATGACACTATAGATTTCCATGTGTTTAATGAGACAGCACATGACACTATGGCTTTCCATGTGTTTAATGAGACAGCACATGACACTATAGCTTTCCATGTGTTTAATAAGACAGCACATGACACTATAGATTTCCATGTGTTTAATGAGACAGCACATGACACTATAGCTTTCCATGTGTTTAACCAGACAGCACATGACACTATAGATTTCCATGTGTTTAATGAGACAGCACATGACACTATGGCTTTCCATGTGTTTAATGAGACAGAACATGACACTCTGGCTTTCCATGTGTTTAATGAGACAGCACATGACACGACGACATTCCATGTGTTTAATGAGACAGCACATGACACTATGGCTTTCCATGTGTTTAATGAGACAGCACATGACACTATGGCTTTCCATGTGTTTAATAAGACAGCACATGACACTATGGCTTTCCATGTGTTTAAGAAGACAGCACATGACACTATAGCTTTCCATGTGTTTAACCAGACAGCATATGACACTATGGCTGTCCATGTGTTTAACCAGACAGCACATGACACTATGGCTTTCCATGTGTTTAATAAGACAGCACATGACACTATGACTTTCCATGTGTTTAACCAGACAGCACATGACACTATGGCTTTCCATGTGTTTAATAAGACAGCACATGACACTATGACTTTCCATGTGTTTAACCAGACAGCACATGACTCTATAGCTTTCCATGTGTTTAATAAGACAGCACATGACACTATGACTTTCCATGTGTTTAACCAGACAGCACATGACTCTATAGCTTTCCATGTGTTTAACCAGACAGCACATGACACTATGACTTTCCATGTGTTTAATAAGACAGCACATGACACTGTGACTTTCCATGTGTTTAATGAGACAGCACATGATACTATGGCTTTCCATGTGTTTAATCAGGCAGCACATGAAACTAACTTTCCATGTGTTTAATCAGATAACACATGACACAATAGCTTTCCATGTGTTAAACAAAAATACAGGATACATTAGAATACCTGTACAGCAGCAAATCTCACCTGGTATATATGATTGAGTTTGAAATGTTTGAGTAGTATGAGGAGTGTTGCTGAGATTGCCTTTACTATTATCTCCTTGTGTCGATTTACGTCAATACCGAGCTTCATTGACTGCAGTACAGTAATTCTAGTACAAAAAAAACAAAACAGAAATTATTATACACAAAAGTGATTGGTCAGTACCAGGTATAAATGTATGAAATACCAGTAAGCTACTAAATTATTTCCATAGAGAATGTTAAAACACAATAGAGTTTATTGTTTTAATTTAACAATATATTAAAACCTGTAAAAACAATAACTTTACAGCATTGCCAATAGGTTTTTATTGACACATGATCGGCACAGTGATGTTCTTGAAGATTTGAAAAAAAAAAAACTACTGAGGGTCTTATCATGCTTCCTGGTTCTAAACTGCTGCACTATAGGTGTAATGGCTTTAGTATTCTCCCTGGCTCTAAACAGCTGCACTATAGGTGTACCTGTATTATCAAATCAATGAGTTTTACTCTTTTCAAGAATACCTGTACTTTGAAACACTATAAACAAATTACAAGAGTACAAGATAACTGGGATAAACTCACGGCATTTCTTCTGGCAGCACATCAGCTAATATATTAATAGAATCTGTCTTGGCTTTAGATGTTGGTGCTGCTGCTAAAAGAATTTTCAACAATGCAATCTGAAAAAGTAATTTAAAAAAAAAAAATCAGATGAGTTTTAGTCTATTAAAGCAGAGGTGCAAGGCAGCATAGGGTTTCCTGGAAGATACAACAAATGTCTGTCTGTCTATTCTATGAACAATATACAGTCAAATATGAATGGATTTATTTTGTTCAGTTGTCCCTGCTTGAACCAGATGCTTCAATATAGAAGTACATAAGATCTGGTATTTGTGAGATGGAGTGTTTGCAAATACAAATGACAAAGCCGTGAAGTGAATGATTTTGTCCAAAAATCTTTGCTACAGTATATGAATTTTAATTTAATGTTTTGATATCGTTTTTTGTTGGCACCAAAATGGCTATAATTTTTGGCTGGCTCCAACTTACCATATACTGTGGTAAATTAGGTAGCATGGCCTGATATAACAATTCTGCTGATGAATTGGAAATGTCTTCTTCTGCCTGTAAAAGGAATCATATGAATTACAGTCAGATATAACACCAGGATAGAAAAGTCCTACTCCCCCACCCCAACCATTATGACATTAAATAAAGAAAGCAAGATACTACAAGTGCAGGGTATACATATTATTATATTACCACTGTATAGAAATCATCAAGAGACTTTTATAATCCTATCCATACATGGTGATTAATGATAGAATAATTAAACATTGATGGATTTTTTTTCTCATTTTGCATCACATACACTCAGCTTAACAAAAATTCAGTCTACATTTAATCATATCCATACGATAACACATTATTTATATGCCATCACGTTTACAATTGACTCACTGTCGCTCTAATCACATATATTCCTTGCTTACATATAGTTGTTTTGGACAGTGACATGGTGGTATCATTAGGTGAAACTTCTCAACCCCAAAGGCCCTGTTTACATGTATGTTATCTCAGAGTACAGTGGTAAGCTCAAGAAAATGACAAGCATGTCTATGCCAAACTCTTCACGTAAGTTTTTTGACAGCAAGATAAAATTATCTCTGTGTCAGACCCTGTATTTTAGTAAACATCTGATACTTTCACAACTATCTAAAAAGATGGGAAAGATTCCAACAACTGAACAGTCTGAGTTCTCTGGTTGCAATGTTAATGAATGTATGTCAGCGGCAGGAAAGGGAGTTGTTTTTTACACCTGAGATTACAAACGTACTGATACTGGCACCTCTTTCCTTTATTATATATACTCACCTTTGATACAGGATTTTTTGTTATTTCTTCTTCTTGAGTTATTTGCAGCTCAGATAAAGATACATACACATGCTGAAAAAGCGATTCAATATATAAAATATAAGATTTGTTTTCATGTAATTTTTTAAAAGATAATGTCAATGTGCTTCATTGAAAAAGAAAGTAATTACCTTTTTCAAAATCCTGACACCTTCATGAATGGGCTGTGGCAAACCGGCTACGGTACTCTGATCCCTGTTAACATAATACACAAGTATATAATACATGTCGAGACAAGGTTAGGGAGGCTTTATTTTGTCACCTCAACTCATCAATAATTCAAACTACAACAGTATATATTAATTTAAGTGAATGATAACAAAAAATAAACACATACCCTCCAATTTGAAAACCTACAAACTTATTACGAGTGTGATCAAGGAATAGTTCCACGTCTTTTTGCCTAGGTGTTAGAAACAAAGAGAGGGTTAGATGGGAGGAGAGATGGTATCGACAATGTAGTAAATCTACATATAGTGTTTATAAACATTCCCCAAATCCATTCCAATACTTGGGAAACTAGGAAAACTAAACTAGATTTTTAAGCTAATTAGTTTTATCGTTTTTTATTCACAAACAAGAAGCGTGGTGAAATAGTGAATATTTTTACAAATGTTTCCAAAAAATACATATTTTAGGGCTCACATGACCTTCTGATGTAGGCAAATGAGTTTGTAATGACCAATGTCATTTTTCGTAAACAACTGCCTCAATATGATCAACTAATTTGAAGAATATGAAAGGAGAATTATAAAACTATATTGAGCTAACCCCATATTTTTAGATTTATTTTGCATTATCAGTTTAAAAAAACGACACTGACCTAACTTTTGGAGTCCAAGGAAGAATCCTGGGTTCTCTAGGAGTATCTGGTGGTCTTTGAAGAGAGTTTTCGTTATCATCATCTTCACTGGGTGGACTCTGATCATAATTATTATCATCGTCTTTTCGGTCAACGTCTTCATAATTTGGATCATCAAGCACATTCTGTTTCACGAGTTCCTTGATTAAAAAAATACAAGCGAAAATAAGTGATTTAAATTTCTCGCCTACTCTCTGCAAGACAAGATTTGTGCCACTTGGTGAGTTATATAAAATAAGTAACGTGAAATGAAGGTAGAAGGCAAGAGTGATTTTTGAAAAAAACAAAAACAGAAATACTAAAACATGACAAAATTGTGTGAGGCGACATGCAAGAGGGTGAAAAAATGTGGATTCATGCGATTGGAGAACGGTTTGGTTAGATTTGATTGAACAGGATTGCAGAAATAATGTTATTAATAATAAATTTGTCACAGGTAGAGATGCCATAGTGCAGGATTAGATTGGTATTATTGCAGATGGATCAGATATTAGACAGGTTTGCTACCACTGGTGATAATGGAGCAGATTATTGCATCCCTTCTTGTGACAATAATAACAACAGAATATTAGTAATAACTGAAATGTAACTGAAAGTAATTTATTTCATTCTCAAGATTATTAATAATTTTACTATTTACTACAATTTTAACATTATTGGTCACTGTATAGACAGTTACATATAACCTTCTACTGGAGTTTAAAGTGAATAAATTTTATTGTGCGATTTTTTGCAATTGGACAAATACTAGGTATTTTCTGTACATAAGGAGACTTACAATACAATCTTATATAAATTGGAATGGAAGTTATTTACAATTGGTCAGTGTGTGCGTCTGTTTATGACAACAAGAGGGGGGGGGGCATGACAAATTATAGCCACCTTTAATAGACTTTGATACTGACATTGTATCTAATGTACCTGGTATTGTTTATTACCTACTTATTTTTCATTGCACTGCTTGCCAAAACATCTTTTTTTTGGACCAAAGTAATTTTTTTTTAAAACTAAAAATACTCCAAAATGAAGCATAAAGAAACTTGCTGAGCCGGCTGTTCAAATCAGATTATGCATATCTGAGTTATGATCTGGGACGGAACCAAATCAATGAGACTCCATCTTAGATTGTGTCCTGTGACGAGGGCTAAAAAAAAGAACAAGTCACTGAACCATTTTTGGATACAAATATTTGTTTAGCCTTACTAACATCATTGATTTTTGAATGTTATCTCTTATTTGATCACAACATAGCATTTATGTTCATTGCTGGGACTGGTATTTCAAATTCTCTATAGCCATGATTTGTGTACTTTGATTAATTGAAAAAAAAAAAAAAATTGTGAAATTATTTCAAAAATATTGTTATTTATGAAATAAAGGAAGTAGTAGAAATAATTACTTTTGGATAAATTACCCCAGTAATTCATGCACCTACAGAGCTACCCTAT